TCGGTATTAAATACTTTATTGGAAATAGCATTGCGCGCGCTATTTGGTTTTAATTTATATTTATTCGTGATCTTCGCGCATTAAGATTTTCTTCGTGTGAAGAAGATGTAATCTGACGTTGACACACTGTCAAAATACATATATTAGGTACATACATGATTTTCGCACTGGCAGCTACACGCGGTACAAAGCCAAGCGAGAAAATTAGCATCGCGAAGCAGCGTTAATAATTAAACGTCTTGCATACCTTCTTAAAAAGAAGATTAACTATCATTGTATCTCATTAGAAGAATGAGAATTTCTTTCATTCCTCTTCACTCAATTAGATATTTAACTCTAACTTCATTTTCTTTAACTTTTTGTTTAGTCTTTTTGTTGACTCCTATTGCCTGCTTCTTCTTTGATTTTATTATTGGAGTCTGCTGATCTTACTTGATTCTAAAATAATAAAGCATATATTTTTCTCGATTGAATTATATAAAACTGTTTCATTCAAGTAAGTTTTTGTTCCTTTAACGCAATATATCAAGTAGAACTCCGGCGTGGCCGCTCTCAGGTTTCTCGCTGGTCCGTTCGTGGACCTTTCCCGAATCAGCAGCAGCGAGCGGAGGGAATATCCAGGGAGAGGAGTCCGTCACGTGATCGCGCGTGTACGCGTGCGCACGGCAATGTCCCGCCGGAAAAATTTCTCCCCCCGCCCAGCTCCATCTCCATCTCCATCTCCATCTCCCTGTCCCTGTCATCGGATGGCTTCGTGATGACGCCGACAACAGCGGCACGTGGTGTCATGGCGAGTCACTGTTGTCGCGAACGCCGCTAGCCGAGTGCCCCGCGTCGCCCGATCGCGCGATTCCCGAGCGGAAAAGTTGACTTAAAAGCGCCACGATGAAGGAGGATTCCCTGCTGAGCTTCAGGTGGCAGAGCTTCCCGTCCCACATGATAGGCTCGCTCGACACCTGTTACGAGAAACAGCAGTTCGTCGATCTCTCCCTGGTGTGCAAGGACGGGACGATTCTCAAGTGTCACAAGATGGTACTGGCCAACTCCAGCTCCTTTTTCAGCCGTCTGCTGCTGGCGAACGAGCACCCGCACCCGATGATCATCCTGCACGACGTCGAGGCCGACGATCTCAAGACGCTCGTCAACTTCATGTACTGCGGTGAGATACAGGTGGTCCAGAGCGAGGTTAGGAGGCTGCTCAAGCTCGCCGAGATCCTCGAGGTCACCGGGCTGCGGCACATCCCGTCCTGGCCGTTGACCGACGGTCCCAACAACAAGGAGCACTATGACGCGACCAAGAAGACGGCGACGGTGTCGCAGTTACGGCTGGAGGAGACCCGCAATTCGTCCGGTAGGAACGTCACCGTGGAGCACGAGGCGAGCGCCAAGACGCAGAGCAAAACGACCATGCAGACGAGATCCGCGTCCAAGATGAGCCCATACAAGACGACGGTGGCCAAGGTAACGCCCGCCCAGGAAACGCCCAAGAACGAGGAGATCAACATGAGCGAGCTGTGTCAGCGGCTGGAGACCAGCAATTCCGGTATCAGTATTATAGACATTAACGAGCCGAGTACGAGCAGGGGAGTGCGGAGGATGTCGCCATTGCAGCGAAAGAAGAGGGAATTCCCGCCGCATCCCGAGATCAGTTGGCCGACCGTACTGTCCAAGATAGCGACCAAGCCTCTGTCCTCCAAGAAGGTGCGCTGCATCATGGACGAGGTGGAGATCACAGCGGGCAGACCGTCCACCTCTGTGCTGGAGAATAGGCTAAACGAGCCGCTGGACAGAAGAAAAGTTAAGAGGACCTCCAACGAGGATAACAGTTTGAACGCGGTTTACATAAAGGACGAGATCGAGGTGGCCTCGGACGTGGAGGAGGACGTCGACATGGACCCGTTGGAGGTCGACGAGGTCGACATCGAGAACTCGGAGAGCAGTAAAGCCACGCAGCCGTTCTTTTCTCGGATATTCCCGAATGTCCATCCGATGTATAAGGACACTCGCCCCCGCGCGGAATTCTCGCCTAGAAAAGATTCAAATGGTTAATGTGACTTTAAAGACTCCGCAAATCGACCGAACATTGCGTACGAATTTCACACTGCATGTTCTTCTCGCGTATTACACCTTGACATTCATACAGATAACATTTCGAAAGCTCCCAACGGTTTATTAACCGCTCGTCATTTCCTCGATGTTTGTATCACGTAATCTTACTGTTTTCCAGTAAAGCCTGACAATCGTAATTAAGTTACAAACCTACCTGTACGATTTAATTTGTTATTTAATATATCTTATTTATGTACTAATTTAATTAATAGCATTAGGATGTTCGTGGCTCGTTTTTGTATTTAAGGTCGTCTGGATTGGGATTATGTGCACGATCGAATTCGATCAGGCGACTTCTGATGCGTTGCTGCTCTACAGTTTTCATGCTTATTTATGGTAGGACAAGCGTGGATTAGTCGATCAGACGTGTACAATGATGAAAATAAGCACGAATTCGATCGATGCATGTAACCCCAACCCTGGGACTCGATTCTTGAATTTATTCGAAGGAGCAACGTATGCGAAAATTCTGCTCTCGCAGAGTAATTAATTAGCAAGTTAATTGGCTATTCGCATGGCGCTTAGTCAATCGACTTGCGAATTTTCTGTAAATGTTTTAACACGTTTCTCCTTAAAATAAATTCGACGAGGTCGAGGAGATAAATTCAGAAATCAAACTCCTGGGACTTGATTCTTGAATTTACTCGAAAGAGGAACTTTGCGCGAAAATTCTGCTCTCACAGAAAAGTTGAAAGTCGACTGGTTAAAAACCATGCGAATAGCCAATCAACTTACAACTTTTCTGTAAGAATAGAATTTTCGTATACGTTTCTCTCCTTCATAGGGATTCAAGAATCGAACCCCAGCTAGGTTTTTGAATTCATTGGCAAGAGAAACGCAAATTCTGCTCTTACAGAAAAGTCGCGGGTCGACTGGCTAAAAGTCACGCGAAAACTAATCAACTTGCAACTTTTCTGTAAGCAAATTTTTCGCATACGTTTTCTTTGCGAATACATTGAAGAATCGAGCCCCTGGACCGGTGCAGACTTGAAACTTTATCCAGCCAATGAAATTAAGATGATCTTGAGTACAATATCACCTGTAGTATCAGTTACATATAAGTATACAGTAGGTATATGTAACGTAACAAACCATAGCAACTCCATTGTATAGCGGTTTCCTTGGAAACAAACTTGACGTTACTCCTTACAGCGCGTATAACAGATTTTGCAATTGTTCCTACGATTTTACATAAGGTAAAGAATGAATCTGGATATAAAGAATAAAGTAAATTGTGATAAAGTAACAGAAGCAAATCATACTCTTGATCAATCAAACCCCGATAGAAATGTAACGGAAGAGGAGTTTCAAAATTTCATGCATCGCGTTACTGAAGTAGGTGAGTATGGCGATTCGATTACGCTGCAAATTTATTTGTCAATAAATTTCTTCATTCAAGAGAAAATCGTGAAGAAATTAGCGTCTTCCGATCGAGAGGAACAAGAATGCGGGAAGATGTTAGCCGATGAAATCTTGGCGAAAGGGGTTCAAAGAGAAATCCGCGAGGACGGAGAGGTAAAAATTAAGACCGATCGGTCAGTAATTAATAAATACCCGTCAAAGGAAGACGATCCTTCCAGCGACCCGAACAAAATGTCGCAAGGTAGATTGTTTGTTTGTTCATGTCAATATACAGGGTGTCTCATTTTAAATGATCCACGCAAATATCTCCAAAAATATGAACGATACGGAAAAACGTTTCGAACAAAAGTGGTTTGGTTTCAATTTTTTTAATAGAATCCCCCATTGTTTATTATACTATCTTATTCTACTAATTAATATGAACAATTTTTGTGCGAAACAGTTTTTGATTTGCCTAATACTTTTTGAGATATTCAAGAGAAAATTTATAACTCTTTCAATGTTTAGCTTATGATATCTCGATAACGGTTTGTCGGAGGGAAAAGTAGTGCAGGACTTTTTTTACTTGATTTGGTCTCAGGAACATGCTGTTGCAACAGTGTTCCAATTATTGAAAATTTTTGCGTATTGCAACAAACACAAAATTTACATACGTTTTCCCGTATCTTGCATATTTTTGGAGATATTTGCGTGGATCATTAAAAATGAGACACCCTGTATACTCACAGCGCACAGTAATAAATTACAAATTGACACGACTTAACGTACAGAGATGTTCATGAGGGGCATAGAAGAGGACGCCAAGAAACGAGCCGCGGATCGCAAGATTAGAAATGAACGAGCAGAAACGTTTAAGAGAATTGCAAACGGTGCATTTAAAGAGGGTGATTACGAGAAGGCCGTGACTTATTACAGTAAAGCTATAGAACAACGTAAGGATTCCTCCGTGCTGTGGAATAATCGTGCGCTGTCGTACATGCATCTCGGATTATTCGAGAAAGCCCTGCACGACTGCGAATGGGCGTTAAAACAGAATGACTCAAATTTAAAAGCACTGTTGAATAGCGCCAAGTGTTACATGCACCTTAGAAACGGGGAGAAGAGCGCAGAATACATACAGATGGCTAAAGAGAGGAATCCGCACTTTAACAAATTTATCGACGGTACGATCTGATATTTTAAAACATTGCAATTTTACATCGCCTTTGGGCAATAACAATTTATTTTACAGAATTTCAGGAAAATATAAAACTTCAGTTTAACAAGTCCAACGTTCAGGTAATCAATGACGACGAAATACAGTAGCGCCTTCTTCCAGATAATACATAAACGTTCGTTTATATATAATATACGTAAATCAATATAACAAATTAACAATAGAAATGCCTAGTACCAGTACATACTTTCATTGTAATTGCCTAAGAATTCAGAACAATATCAAGATTGCTCTATACTTGTTGCGTTACCTTCCTTAATTTCTGACAGTGATCTTGGTTCATGTAAGAAAACTGTGCACTCAATGTCCTGGAAAAAAAACCTTAATGTAACGTCAATAAACCGTATCATAATATAACTTGGAATTGCAAAGCAATTTTATACGGAAGTTTTTTTTTAGAGTCCTTAACTTATATTTTAGGACATGTAGAGTGCGTGTCCTGGGAAACAGCCTCTATAATAAATTAAATATATTTACTTGCATGCGCGCTGCTCTTACAAATCCCTCGTTGGCAGAGACAGTGATGCTTTTCATACTTTCGCCCGTTGCGAAAATCAGTCGTGATCGATCTTTGATTTTACCGCCCAGGCGCAGCTCCATAATTCGTCCGGTGGTCACGTCGTCGACGATTCGCATTTTCTTCAACAACTCTTGCGCACGCTGCGTCTCTCTCGGGCCACCAATGACGTCGATGATATTCGTGAAATTATCATACGCCGTCCGGCAGACCATGAGCTCTTTGTCTCGAAATAAGTTTTCTAGAATTGGTTTTATGGGACGTTTTCTTTCCATTTCTGCTTGTTGCGTGAGTAACGGCTCCCGATACACATAATTGTTATATCCATTGGCCATGTTTGTGACGTAAGCCAGTAGCGCCGATACATCCAGATTCAGAAGTTTTATTTCGGCTGACAGTACAGATGTATTTAACGACTGCAGGTCCACGTCCAACTCCTTCTCGCTCGTAGATCCTTTGGAGAAACCCAGCTCACCTTGTTCTACCTCCAGGAAATAAACAGAGAACAATAAATGTGCATTATTATCTCACGCGACACAATGTTCTTCAAACACTCGTCGGATATAAATTATATACTGACTGTTTAAGTTCTCGTCACTCGTGTCTATCCTATCTCCTTCCACCACGATGCCCATTTGCTCCAGTTGCAAGGCCAGTGGGGCCTCGATGCCGTAGGCAAAGTGAAAGATCACATCCGGCGGCCTGTAGTGATGCAGATGGCACTTGCTACATTCAAGGTACGAGTCGGCTTGGTCCAGAATGGATTTCTGCCCGTACTCCCCGTTGCCGAGGGATATAAGAGTCAACGCTCTGGCGTTCCTCGCTATAACCTTCACCCAGGAGGCGCCGCCGTTGCAGACTATGTCAACCTCCAGACGCGACTTCTGACACTTGAAGGGCCTCATTACGTTGACGGGATCCTTGGCGCAGGACAGTCGAGCCACCATGGCGTCGAGGTGGGTCAGATTCGAGCTCTCAAGGTGCTTCTTCTTCAGGTTCCCCGTACATTGTACCTGCGCAAGAAAAGTACCAAGTTATCCAACTGCTCATCCGAGGATCCAGGCCGCGGTTGTTCGCTCGATGCTACAAATGCTTCAGTGTACTTTCTCTCCTATTCTCTTTATCAAGAGGCTAGATGGGCCACAGCTCTGATCCACCAGATGTAGAATTATAACCCTCGACTCGCAAACTTTCGCCCAGACCCGGCCGAGATGTACTTTCCCTGCCTACATAAAAATTCAATCGCGGCGTCTCTTGTCTTCTCCGAGAATCTGATTTCCTGCTGACTCAATACTGCGGCTCGCGTGACGTCAGCGATCGTTTTCTTTATCAAAAGGATACGCGGACCACAGCCCTGGCCTACCAGATGTACAATTATAACCCTCGACTCCCGAATTTGTGCTCGCGCCCAGATCGCGGCCCGGCCGAGGCGTGCTCGCCTCTTAACGCTGTCCACATCGGGAATTGAGTTGGAATCGGTGCGTCTTGCCTTCTCCAAGAATTTAATCTCCTGCTGAATCTTCCGTATCAGTTTGTCGATCCCGTCGACCTTGTCCATCAGCCTGAGCCGCTCGACCATGCCGTTGCCGCTCGCGATCTTCTGCTCGAGGCACTGCAGCAGCTCCTCGTCGCCCGCCTCGCCTTCCATCGTCGCGGTGCTCCTCGTCGGCGCCGGTCGCCGCGCTCGCAGGATCGAAGCCTCGCGCGCGACGGCCAGCGACGGCGGTGCACGCGGCCATCTTGCGCCGCGGGTCAATATCACGCGCTCGCGTAATGTCGTCGGCTTGCCGCGGCTCGTGTCAGGCTCGCCTCAATTAACCTCACCAAAACTTTTGCGCTCCGCCGGCGGTCCGTGCGGACAAGCGACAGTCGATGCCGACGTGCGAGCCGCGGTGCGACGTTGCGCCGCGCCGTTACGTTATTACGCGAGACGGTGCCGTGCGCGGTGCGACGCGGTGGACGTACGCGGGGACGGCGCCGACGGCAGCGACGGGGACGACGAGTACGCGGGGCGGCATCGTCGCGTTCACGTGAGCCGCGGCGACGGTCTCCGCCGTCGAGACGGAAACGGGCGTTCGTTCGCGCGAGCGAGCGCTCAGCGGTAGGGGAAAATGTCCAGCGTCAAGATCATCGAGAATCCAGAAGTGCCGGGTGAGTCGCCCGTCATCCGCGCGACACGATCCTCGTTCCCTCGATCGCGTTTCCCCGCGGCGCGACGTCGACTCGGCTCGGCGCGGCGCCGCGACAGCGCCGGGGCCGATGCCGAGAATAAAAAAGGAAATGGACATCTTGCCTCGATTCTCGGGAGCGTCTACGTGGGCCCGGGAGGATCGCCTCAATTAGCGCGCGATCTGTAATCGGGATTGTTTGAAGCTCCGAGGCCGCCGGATCGCGAATCGCCGGACGAAACGATTATCTCTTTCTCTCTCTCGCGCGCGCGCGCGCGTGTGCGTGTGCGTGTATACGAGTAAATTGCGAGCAGCGGACGTCAAAGACGAGTACACGGATCACGCAACACGCGAGCGGGTTTGTCGTCGCCGCTGCATTACGCCGGATTTAACCCACGATTTGATCTGCCGTCTCGAACTTCGAAGACGTTTTACGGTCCGTCGATGAGAGGAGCGGTCGGTCGATATTTCCGGTGCGCGCTTTTGTAAAAAAAAAAAAAAGAAAAAATACCTCCCCAACGCGAGTAATCGAATGTAAATATATTCGCGCGAGACGAACGGAAATGAACTGCCGTTCACGATGACACGCGACATTTCGAGTTAACGTAAAGCTGACGGCGATAAACGATCCGCGTACGCTCAAGTCTGTCTTATGTCCACTTCTATGTAATTTAACCTTGATCTCGGTTTGCGTTACTTTCCAGCTTTTTCCAACTCTAACCCATACAGCGCAGCTGGTTGCAGTTACATTGCAGAAACGTTGCAATTTTGCAGAATGCAGTGGAATCTTGCAGAGATATTATAGAATTGCAAACTTTCGATAGCAATATTGCAGCAACGTTTCAAAAATAATGAAAATACTATATTTTCTGTTTAAAAAATTTGTGTAATTACGAGAATTTTGTTATGTTATTCTCGTTGATACCAATAATGCGCGAATTATTAAGTACTCGATCAGTGCGGTGTTGCTCGCAATCTCCATCTATTGCGAAGCGACATAACCTCCTTAGGTTGCTTCGCAATAGCTTGCTATGTATTGAAAAAGGCCCGGATGTAATTAGAAAATTCTCTGCTTATGTACAACAACAAATTATTCCAAAAATATTGCGCCGCAACATTGCTATAATGTTGCACCGCAATCTCTCTGAGGGCGGACATTTCAACGTTGCTGCAATCCTCCAGAAACGTTGCAGCAATGTTGCGCAACGTTGCTGCAATATTGCAATCTTGCAATGCAACATTTCTGCAATCTTCCTGCAATCTTTCTGTGCTGTGTGGGATACAGCGCAGCTGGTTGCAGTCACATTGCAGAAACGTTGCAATTTTGCAGAATGCAGTGGAATCTTGCAGAGATATTGCAGGGATATAGAATTGCAAACTTTTGATAGCAATGTTGCAGCAACGTTTCAAAAATAATGAAAATACTATATTTTCTGTTTAAAAAATTTGTCTAATTACGAGAATTTTGTAATGTTATTCTCGTTGATACCAATAATGCGAGAATTATTAAGTACTCGATCAGTGCGGTGTTGCTCGCAATCTCCATCTATTGCGAAGTGACATAACCTCCTTAGGTTGCTTCGCAATAGCTTGCTGTGTATTGAAAAAGGCCCGGATGTATATGTAATTATTATAGTAAATTCTCTGCTTATGTACAACAACAAATTATTCAAAAAATATTGCGCCGTAACATTGCTATAATGTTGCACCGCAATCTCTCCGAGGGCGGACATTTCAACGTTGCCGCAATCCTCCAGAAACGTTGCAGCAATGTTGCGCAAGTAAGCCTGGCGTAAGGAAGTAAATCGATTTTAAGCCAACGGTACACGATACTGTCTTTCCTACTGGATTGCTTACCAGAACCAATAAAGCCCGTATCGGACTACGGATTGAGATTGAGATTACATTGAAATTTGGCCAATTAGAGTAAAAGTTACTAAACTTGAGATTAGTAAACTCCACTGTGATTGGGCAAATTTCAATCTAATCCCAATCTCAATCCGTAGTCTGATACGGGCTTTAGGATGCAGAGTTTTAGATCAGGTGACTTAAAGCTAAATCCTGATTGGCTCTCGTAAACAATCCAGTAGGCAAGAAAAATAGGAACGCTATCGGCCAGTGTTAACTTTTTTAAAATTATGTCTGTATTTTAGCTTCCTTACACCATAAGCTAAAGATTCTGGGGTTTTCCTTCCTCCTTGCCCAAGGCTTACTCTACGCAGAACTTTTGTAGACGACGCATTGCAACTAGAAAAAGATAGAAAGTTAAAATGGATCTGCACTGATAGAAATAGACGTTAGGCTCGGTTTCATCAAACGTCGCTTAACTTTAATGTTAGTCTAATTTCTAAAGTAACAGTTGCAAAGAGACAAAGAAGGAATTAAGCTAAGCTTAAAGTTGGACGAAACACGTGAAGCGGAGCCTCAGGGCCTCAGCAGATTGGCTGTCTTGTACTCTTGAGACAATGTTTCGTGTTTCAAATCTTTGTCTTAAAGTAACACACAATAACTGTCTTGTGACTCGAGAATACAAGACAGCTATTCTGCTCAGGCCCTTAGTTGTAAACGTAAGGTGCAGAGAAGAACGTACGAGTCGCGAGAGGCTATTTCTATTAAGCGTTTACGGATCATTCTCGGCCGTCAGCCTAAGGCGTAATAAATAACGAAAATAACGTTCGGAAAGGCATACTGCAATTTTAAGGATCGAGAACAGGAGGCATGAGGTCTCTTTTTATATATTGACGATTCGGCGACGAAAGTTTGACCGTCCTCTCGGTTCGGTACAGATCGTCGACGTAAGATTACGCTCCGAAACCTTTTTCTCCGGGGAAAATTTTACTCGATGGCCGTTCCAAGACCCTTTTTATTTCCGATTGGTTCCGATCCATCTCTCGAGTAGAATTTTCCTCGGAGAAAACATTTCCGAGCGCAACCTCGGACCAGATCGCGCAACGGTCATTCTTTAAATCGGAAGACTACGATACCAATAAAATTCTGCGTTCACTAATTGTACACGGATTCTCTCTGAAAATTTATCCCGAGTCTAATGCGGGACAACACGGCATTTCCAAGAATTTTATCAGAGTATTTGAAATTTTACTATACATTTTACTAATAATTATATACTTACAGTTAGTAGCGGGAGGTCCCTTCTTTGAGATATGTATGTCTCTGCTGAATTAATAGGCGTCATTCGTTGGCTCCGTCATGCATTTATTGTTCTTGAAATGAAATCTGTTTAGTGGAAAATTCATTGTTAGATCGTGTAATCGTTGCGAAAAAAAGAAACAGATTCGTGATTGAATTTGCGTGGTAACATTTCAAAAAAACTCTCATAAAGTTTCTCAAAATGTCACGCTGTCCCACGAATGCGTGATTTTCCGGGTGAATTTGAAAAGAAAATTCTCCCCGCGCACGAAACGCGAAACAGTTCTGAATAAACAAGGACGCGTGTAACTGGCCCAAGCTGAAATATTCCAAAAGCGCGATCGGGCACGAGTATTTTAAACGTATTTATTGGCTGCGTTTCCTGCCCGTGATTTGCATTGTACCGATTATGTAACCGGCGCGATCGTACGAGTCTCTACGCAAGTAACTACGAAGCTCTATACGTAGAACGGGTGCCGAAACAGATTGCGTCGGTATCGCGGCAGCGATAAGCTTAAGCGCGTATCGCTGTCTGGACCCACGAGATGCACTATCGGGCGATGTCGCGGGTCTTTGTATCAGCCGGCCTTCCCACTTGAATTTGTGCACGTTGATCAACACATTTACAGAGGAAAGTCCCCCCTATTATGAGATAGGCTACTAATATGAAACAGCGGGGGTTTCTGTTAAATTAATAGGCATCGTTTGTTGGTTCCACCATGAATTCATTGCTCTTGGTGAAATCTGTTTAGTGGACAATTCATCGTTAGATCGTGTAATCGTCGCGAAAGAAGATTTGTGAGTGAATTTGGATGTTGAAACCTGCTATTTCACAATAGAAGACTTTCCTCTCTATGCAAAATGTAGATAGGCTCTTAATATGAGACAGCGGGGTTTCTGCTAAATTAATAAGCGTCATCTGTTGATTCCGCCTTTGAATTTATTGTTCTTGAAGTGAAATCTGTTCAGTGGAAATCGATCGTCAGATCGTGTAATCGTTGCGGGAAAAAAAATTTGCGATTGAATATGGACGTTGAAAACCTGCTATCTCGTATTAGAATCCTATCTCGTAACAGACTTTCCTCTACGTAAAAAATGACACATGTGTTCTACACGTGCCCAAATTCATATAGGAAGGCATCGGTGATTCCTAGTGTACGATACATTGCGCGTGTACGAGTGCGCGGCAATTAAATGCGATTCCTCTGTAAATTACAAAAGAGCGCGATAGGCATCTCGTTTTAACGCGGCGCCGCCCGACTTATCCGTACGTTTCTCGCCGAAAGCGAATCATCTCGCCCCGGTCGTTCGCGATCGTTATCACGATCGTAAATCACGTGGGCCGCGGCGCCGTGAGATTTTTGCCAGGGCGAATCGACACCGGGCACCGGCGCGCCGCCGGTAAAGCGTCGTCTACGATACGTGGAGTAAGCTTGGAGTAAGAGAGAACCATAAAGGCCATTTTACAATTGCGTAAACGTAGTTGTAGGGTTGTAGGAGTAGAAGTAGTAGTAAGTGTTGTACATCAAAGTAATGTACAATAGAGTGAGATACGTCGTAATTGAAATGAATGATTAGTTTAGCTTTTACGTCCTACATCGTTGTAGTCGTGAAAGATCAAGTTCAGCCATCTTTTACAACAGGCTTTACAATCGGAAATGCTAGTTTAAAACTGTGTTTTACAACACTGTACAACCGCTAACAACCACGTTTTACATTGTTACACACGTAACAATTAGTTAGCTTTTACGCAATTGTAGAATAGCCTTAAGCGCTGGTCTACAATACGTGGAGTAAGTGTGGAGTAAGGAGTAAGGGAGAACCCTAACTTCTAGCTTTTGGTGTAAGGCAGCTAAAATACGGGCATAATTTGTAAAATATTTGTAAGACTGATTGATTAAGGCATTTTGATTCACCGAGAGTAAGCCTAAGAGCTGAAGTAGGAGTAAGAAATAAAATGGATTTATTTTCTTACTCCAGCTTACTCCATGTATTGTAGACCAGCCTTAACTTTGAGCTTTTGGTGTAAAGGCCATTCTACAATTGCGTAAACGTAGTTGTAGGGTTGTAGGAGTAGAAGTAGTAGTAAGTGTTGTACATCAAAGTAATATACAATAGAGTGAGATACGTCGTAATTGAAATGAATGATTAGTTAGCTTTATACGTCCTACATCGTTGTAGTCGTGAAAGATCAAGTTCAGCCATCTTTTACAACAGGCTTTACAATCGGAAATGCTAGTTTAAAACTGTGTTTTACAACACTGTACAACCGCTAACAACCACGTTTACGCAATTGTAGAATAGCCTTAAGGAAGCTAAAACGCAGGCATGATTTTTAAAATATTCGTAACACTGGCCGATGGCGTTCCGATTCACCAGGAGTACGCGTAAGAGCTGAGGTAGGAGTGAGAAATAAAATTGATTTATTCCTTACGCCGGGCTTATTTAAAATCAGAGCTATTCAGACACTGACATCCTGTCACGACTCTCCAGCCTTTGTTCCTTAAAATTTGTGTTCATCACATGAAGGCCTTGTGAAGTGTATTGTTGAAATAGATTTATTTCCTCGCTTCTACTTCTACTCCGTGCTCCAGGCTTTCTCCGTGCATCGTAGAAATAATACACCGAGTCCGGGTGCACTAAAAAGTCCCGAGCTCGTCGAGTAAAAAGTCAAGGAAGCTCCTTTCGTCTTCCCTTTTTTCGACAGTCCGCTGTCTTCTTCCGCCACTTTTACCGTTAAAGGTCCACACAAAAAACTGCACAGGCTGGTAAAAGGTACAAATAATTCGAAGCGCGCGTATCGGCGCATAATTATCGCGCCACGTTACAGATCCCACAGGGCTTGCCTCTCGCAATGCAGAATGACAGTGACGTGAAAAATTACCGCAGTAAAACCGCGGGATGTCGTATGATTTACAACTTTCAACTTTTACAAATTCCCGCGTGTCTCCGAGCAAAAAGAAAGATACGACAGCGTTCTGTTCCGGGGTCGAGAATCCTTCCCTCTCTCCCTTTCGCATTTCTTTCGAACCCTCGGTTTAACTCCATTCTCTCGCAACAGGACTGGAGTGCTTCCTGCCGCCACCTCCGCCGCCGCCGCCACCGCCGCCGCCACCGCCGTCGAACGGCGACGCACGGTCGACAACGACGCAACAGCAACGACAACCGGCGACAACGAGCGCTGGCGCGATGACGGTCGCGACGGCATCACCGGCCGCAAGCGACGGGCCTTCTTCGTCGACCCTGGGCACGTTCCCGAGCTCGGTGCCGAGCCCCTACATGCTGCACCCGACGCAAATGCAGTCGCAAACTCCCGGGCAACCGCCAGCCCCAACCCCCTGGTGGATACCCACTGATAGCGACACGGAGCTCTATCCTCCCTGGTACGACTCGGCTTACAAGGGTGCAGTCACCGCGTCAGTAGCGTCCCCCGCGACGACCCCGAATCTTATAGGCAAGGTCAAGACCAAGAACTTTTACAAGCGTAAAATCGAGTTCATTGATCCGGCACAGGACGCAGGTAACTTGGAGAGTACATTCGAAAGGAGCCGTTGCATCTAGATGTGAGAAATTGTTGACGCGTAAATGCTAATTCTTATGTCCGCAGAGAAAGTGGCGAGTGCGCAGAGGGAACTGTCGGCGCTGATGAAACCGCTGAAATGTGATCTGTGCAATGCAGTTGTAAGGCCCGGCTAATCGTAATCGGATTAATTAGAGACTTGGTCTCCGTTTAAATTTAGCTTTTATTCCAAGACTAAGTCTGCGACCGTAGATCTCTCACGTCGGGGTAATTATGAGCATCGTATATCGACGAAGCGATGTCGTACTTTACAGATGAATTCCACGTTGCAAGCGAAATTGCACTATGACGGCAAGCCGCATCAGAAAAAAGTGTCGATGTTTCTCAATCAGAGCGTTAAGAAACAGAAAACGGAAGACGGGCAAGTGAGCAGTACGACCAATAACGACTGGCAAAACTACTGTGATGTAAGAGGCCTACCAATGTTTCGCCTACAGTTATGTATTTACGTACATAGATCCGCATATTAATGTACCTCGCACCCGATCTGCATTGCTAGATATGCAAAACGTGGTTTACGTCGCAGACAGACGCCACGCAACACTACGCGGGCAAAAAGCACATTAGGGCGGCGAACGGCGGGCCACGCGCGAGGTATGAATCTGCACTTCGAGTTGTCTAGCGATACGTTAACGTTAATGATTCGGTAACTCGATTTATTTTAACCCCTCGAGGCCACACTGGGCTGGCGGTCACCCAGACAAAAATTCAAGATCTCTAGTTTGAAACTCTGAGTTAGAGACTCTGTAATCAGAGACTGGCCATAAGAGAGTTCGTCAAATTCCTGCGAGTCGGAGAGAAACATAAGCTCGCTTCTACGATTCTACGATAGTAGGAAAGTGGGATAGCCCACGTTTCTCTCTCACTCGCAGGAATTTGGCGAACTCTCTTATGACCAGTCTCTGATTACAGGGTCTCTAGGCTGAGCGAGTGTGTCTTTGTCTACGATGCGTTGTTTTCTCCTCTTACAAAGAGCGCGAGAGAAACATCACTCGCGCAATATCTCTATCATTCAGTGTAATCTTCAGCGCGCCCATAAGAACGCGCAGTTTATCTCTATAAGTCTATGGTAGAAATGCTCTGCGCTACGTCAGTCACGTTCGATAAACATTTGAAAATGATTGGTTGGCGACCACCCAGTGCGTGGCCACGAAGGGTTAACAATTTAGCGTGCGTAACGAGCTTAACGAGCGTGGCTCGGCTACGTTTTGTCGCGTGATAGTAACGAGACCGTTGCGTCCCGCAGACCATCGAAGAAGCTGCAGGCTCAGAATCAGTACAATCAGGTGGACTCGACGGGCCGCTTCGGGATCGGAATGGGCTTTCAGGCGGACGCGCAGTCCGCCCCGGCCGTGTCGCCGATCGTGCCCGATGGCGTAGCAACGGTGCCGAATCCGGCCGCGGTGCAATCCATGTACACGGCGCCGCCGTATCCCACGCCGTTGCGCTGCGACCTGTGCGGCGTCTCGGCCAATCGTCAGGATCAGCTAGAGACGCACAAGCGCGGAGCCCGACATTTGAGGATGCTGAGGCTCAACGGACTCCCTGTACCTGAACTCGGTCAGTATCGGTCAGATGAACGTGGTGAGTGTGCCGCGCGTCGGTCTTTGGTTCATTGATTCCTTGCGTTTTGTTTCAGCGACCGAAATCGAGAACGCGTCCAACGCCCCGGAACCTATAGATTATTCTATTTATCGGACACCATCGGGTAAGGGAAATCGCCACGCGTTACGTAAGGCTGAAAAGAAAAAAAAAAGAAACGTCGACGCAATGTCGCGATGGTGCAATGACTTGCTTTTTTTTTTCATTTTGCAGGGCAGTATTACTGCGCGCCGTGCAATCTATCGTTAAACTCGGAGAGCACGTTCGCTCAGCACGTCGAGAGCAAGAAACACAAAAATCAGTCTAACCCAAAGTTACCCAACGCCACGGTGGCGGCAAAGAAAGCCAGATTCAAGAAAAAATAAAACCGTGACTATCATATTACTTTCCAATACAAATTCTATAGTATTTCAGCTCTTTTTCTTGTCTCCTCCCCCCTCTCTATCTCTCTCTCTCCCCCCCTCCCTCCAATTTCAAACCCTGTGTTCGTTTCGCGCTTTGCCGGTCGCGACGAGGAGATACGTGCGATATTCGTCGAACGCAATAAACTCTGGTTCGAGGCACCGAAAAAAACGAGAGTTGCGCGTGTGCGGGTGCACGGTGGCCCCCAAGTTACCCCCGGCCGAATCTCGTTAAACGGCGCGGACGGCACCGACAGCGCCGAATATTGCGGAATTAACGCGAGGCCGGATCGAGCGTCTGATGGGAAACGTAAGTCTGTTAGTTACGCGGGGCGAGTATTTAAATTAAATTGCCGATTAACTCTAGATTAAATTTGCAGTAAGTCGAGCGCGGTGATTTAGACGGCGGCTCATTAAGCGCGCGTCTCGCCGTCGCGACTAATCGTCTTCCGCATTTATTCAATTACCGAGATCATTAACTCGAGCCGCGCGACGAGCGTCACGAGGATTCGCGGGATCCTCCGGCGAGGTGCGTGTGCACAACGCGCGGCGGCACAACGTGAAATTTATGCGTCGCTCTCTCTCTCGCACTTTCGCGAGCGCGCGCGACCTTCCACCGCAGTTTATGGGCCGAGCGAACGAGCCGAACTCTCGTCTATTAATTACCTCGTAAGACGCGCGCGGCGGAGCGACGTTTCCCGCCTCTCTTTAGTCGCCCGCGACGAGTGTGTCTCTCGCGAAACGGCGGCGGGAATATCAAAACGTCGGGAATGAAGCGTGAATCAACAACGGCGTTTATGACAGCCGTCCAGAAATGCTCAGCCGAGGAAACGAACGGCCTTGAAAACGCGAGGGGCACAAACGGGAACGTCCGCGGCGGAATCCTCGCGATCGGCCGGCGGTGCATGATCTTCGAATTCGCCGCGAATTCTCACGGCCGGACCCGCTCCCGAGCGAGCGAGCGCGCGAGGGGGTTGAGAAATCTCGACGCGCCGCGGGCGACGGCCGTGTACTCGAAATTCCTGCGAGGCTCTAATATCCCCCCTCCCGCCGCCGCTTCCCCCTTTCCGTCCCGGATGCGTGACGCGCCGCATACCGGCGATTTTCTAACGAATCCCGGCGATTTAACGGCGAGATCCCGATTCCTCCTCCCGCTCCCCCTTGCCCCTCTCGGGACGTTGATCCTTTTGGTTTTCCGAGCGTCGACTGTGCCCGCGCGCCACGCCATAAGCAGCGCGAGATTAGGATCGCCCTTGCGCGCGCGCGCGGACTTTTAGATCGGTCGGTTTATACCTGCGCTTCGGATTTTTTTACGAGCGGGGTCCACGTGTAACGTCGCGTCACTCGTTTTATTTCCCGCCGCACGTCGACGGTTCCCTCTTCCGTCCTTTCGTCTCCCACGGGACCTCGCCCTGGGTTTTACAACCCGAGAGGCTACGAGTCACTTCTGTATATACCGTATTTCGTCGTGCGCGCGCACGCACGCAAGGTCGTAAATCATTCCTAATGAATTTGCGCGCGGGACACACCCGCGACACACGTGCGTTTCCCGTCTAAACATCCGCGTGGCCGTCCGTCCGTCCGAGAAACCGTACTACTGTTACGTTATTGATTATTGTCTATCGTTATTACGTTATCGTTGCCGTTCGACAAGCGGCTTGAGATCACGGAACGCTGCTTCATCGCCGGTTCTCGCGTGAATCCCCCAGTCGCGCGATACACTGGCGCCATATTGGGAACTAATTGTGAATCTTGTAGCGAATTCGGTTGCTTGCACACTAAGCATCCATATATACGGATCATTTTTTGGCTAAATACTCTTTGAACGTGTATTTAAGACAAAGTTAAATATAAAAGTTCACTATAAATAGGCCTCGGTGTGCACTGAGTGCGCACTAGTGCAAGCAGTCGAATTCGCTATAATATTAGGCATTCGGTGTACGATCCACTTTTTTTATGCGAATCGCAGCATCGGTGTCCACATTCGCGTTTATTCCGCGGCCAATATTGGTTTTACATTGGGAGATACCGGCCAGTGCATTCTTAAAATAGCCAATGTGGAGCCAACGCACTGACGTGCTAATATAGTGTCCGACGGTCACGACGCGCGCGAGTATTCAGACGGGCAGCGCGCGTCGCGATTGTGCCCCAACACGAGCGTCGTGAGCCACGTGGCCAAGGCACTTGTTACTTCCACGTGCATAAACGGGAAATTTTCCCGCTGCCCGGGAAGAGGGCGAGAGCTTTATGATCCCTTTATCCGCCTGGTAGCACAGTGCGTTGGCCAAACATTGGTCCAGCGTTGGTTACATTAGAAATGCCATTGGCCGATATTGTCCAACGCAAAGCGGATCTTTCCAATATCGGCCGTGGAATAAACGCAAATATTGCACGACAATAATTGTATAGTATTTAGATTTATTGTGCAAGTGCATTGGCCAGTATTTAGCGATGCATTAAGAACAGGGTTGGAAGGTAACTCGTTACTTTCTCTCCATCTGTAACTGTAACTTGACTCGGTTACATTTCTTTTCGATAATTAGTAACTAATTTAATAGTTGCATTAAGAGTGACTTTATGCGTATTTTAAACCTCCACGGATCGCATTAGGCCATTGCATTTGCACATAAACGCCTTTATCGACACTTTACAGTTCACATGCAGAGTTGATACTTTTATTTTCATTGCGAGAAAGTAACTGCAAAGTAACGATTCGTTAATTTTTTAGTAACTGTAACTGTGACTAGTTACACTTTTAGCAAAAAACCTGTAACGGCAACTAGATACATTTGTAAAGTAACTTTCCCAACTCTGAATAAGAATATTGCTGAGTAGACATATTGGCTAAATAAGAGAAAGATGCCCTTAACGAATATTAGGAATACTAGATTTACATTATTTCCCAATAGTGCGCCAATATATTGTGCTACTAGGGCCCGCTGTTCGAAATATTAGTTAGAATACGATCAGATCGCGTTAGATTACATGCAATTTTTATGTAAATAAATCAGAGTTTTATTAATGTACACCGAAATTGCATGTGATCTAACGTAATCTGCTGCTCATATTCTGTTTATTATTTTAAACTGGGCCGCCCGAGCATCTCGTCGAACGACTAAAGCACGATCTGATTTCGACGAAGCAAGAAGGTGGAGACGGGGGGAAGGGGGGGGAGGAAAAAACACAAATTAATCTGTGACGCGGCGCGGAGATTTTGAGGAACGTATAAAGTTGGATTAATCGTCCGCCCCGCGTTTCGGTGGAATTCGTCGCGATGACTGGAGAGAATTTCTGAGAAGCCTCGGGTCAGAAGCGTAGAGTCGCTCTTCCACCTGCAACGGGCGGTAGCGGTGCAACCAGACGCCGTGACGAAAAAATCAATCGATCGACCGGCCGATCGCTCCCTCCCGTTCAAGGCTCCGCCGATCGCTCCGTCTCGTTGTCCTCTCGAATTGCGCTCGGTCTCTCGGATAAGAGAGTAAACGCGCAAAAATCACCTATCGGCCGTGACTCGCGAAGAAAATCGCAGTCGCTGCGCAACGCTACGAGCTATTAGGGACGCATGAATGAGCCGGGGAACAAGAGCGAAAAGAAAACCACGGGCGATTGCGATTTATACTCCTTGTGGAAAACGTCGATTATAATCTCGCGAGGAACGCGTGCATAATAATGACAGCGCATATCTGATAGCGAATTCGATTGCTTGCACTAGTGCGCACCGAGTGCCCAGACAGTTGCGCGTTGGCTCTGGTGATCTGAGAACCCGAGTCCAAATCCACCCAGGCCTCGTTGGGTTTTAGTTAAATCGCCACCTCTCGGGAGGTAAGGAGGTCCCTCTGTAAAGCCGTTTCTGCCGAAAATGCTGGATGATGAAAAATATTCAGTACCTTGGTGGGCTATGAAAGTGGGTACATCGCTCATATCGCCTCTAAGAGCATTATAATTTTTATATTTTTAACTAGTGGACCTCATAATGCATAGCATTATAAATCGTTTGTATGATTGGACCTTGAAAATCGTGAGTGAAAATGGCATTTCGAACAACTTTGTGAGAGTTTCTTGAAATTTTATCATACATTTTAGTAGTAATTACACTTGGTATATAGTTTACTAGTAAAATGTATGGTACAATGTCAAAAAACTCTCACGAAGTTCTTCAAAATATCATGTCCCACGGTTACACGACCTTCCAGGTAAACTTTCAAAGAAAATTCTCTTCGTGCACAGTAAACCCTGGATTTAACGGACCTGACAGACAATAATACAATACACTAATTAATAACACTTGGGAAAAAGATGAAAAACAAGATGCAGAAATCTCAAATCCGACGTAACAATTGAAGGAAAGCGTGTCGGCCAAAAGTTTCACAGAAATTAGGGCCAATTCGGAAATTGTCAAGATACCCTTCAACTAAATCGCAACTGTATCTCATATATATACATTTTTTTTTTTTACAAAACCCGAGGGAATCTGCGCCCGCAGATTTCGTAAAGTCCAAACGGCTCCTCGACGACGTTTGTTCCCCGCACAAGAGACGCCCGTCCGGCCGATGGCGTAACGAGCGATGAATGGGGACTACAACGCGTAAGGGAGCCGCGACGGATGCCGAACGGGGCGTAATCGGTCGTTACGGAATCGTTCGCGCAGAAATCCTCTTCCGCGGCTCGCGGATCGGATCGAGATCCCGGTCTATATCGAGAAGGGAACGCGTCGTCGGCCGATAGATCGTCTCGGATGGCCGGCATCGCGCGTCGCGACTCGGGCATGCGTCGCGGGTTGGGCAATCGGCTCCGCTGAATCGCCGGAGCTCCAAGGTGCAAACGACGGAGATTAATAAGAGAGAGAGAGAGAGACCGCGCACGCGAGCAGACTCGCGCTTCGACAACTCGACTTGATAAATTACCGCGGCTACCGAGATCTTTCCCGGCACCGAGGCTGCGTTGCGAGCTCGGCTTGACATTAACGCGTCCCGCAAACGTAACGCGGAGCGTTCCGCTCAAGTTTTC